ACATCGAAAAATCTCTGAGTCATCACTTCAGAATTGCTGATCTTGTACATCCAGAAAGTTGCATAATGGATTTCCCAGAAGTCAAAGCGAACCAGCTGCCAGACGCCAAGGTTACTCAGGTTTCAAATAAACTGGGTTGTAAACCTCAAACCTGTGATTACCTTCGCTGAGCATCTGTTTGCTTCATCTCTAGATGAAGTCCCTCAACATCTCCCCCTCCCTCCGCCATGGCCCCCATAAGGAATTCTCCAGGCCTTTGAACATGTTACATTTTTCAGTGTTTTCAACCCATGAGCCAATTTGAGCATACCAACATCCATTTTACTGAGTTTGGAAACTGAGAGACAGAAAAAAAAAATGTCTTGCTTAAGGTGGGACCCAAGTCCATGGAGAGGCAAGGTTTGAAACAGATGCCCAGACCCTGAAGTTTGGGTGTGTGTGTGTGGGGGGGTCAATCCCAGCAACCTCAGCTGGTTTCTTGTTGCAGTATTACAGTTCCTCAAGGGCCTGGGACTCCTGTCGGTGCCCCAGTGCCTTGCGTTCTGCTTGTCACCACCAAGGATGGTGTCATCTGAACACAACACATAATTGTTTTAATGTCAGTCACCGCAAGGGCACAGACAGGCTAAGGGACTGTCCCAGAACCATTCTGTGTGTCCATAGCTGTATGACAAAATAACGTGGCTGCTCTTACTCAAAATGAAGCCCAGGAAAAGCTTCAGAGTCAGCCAGCTTGATGGCCACATAGGAGGGAAGAATAGGAATTCCATCTCAGTGGCCTCCATGAGCTGCCCCTGATCTCCAAAGCCAAAATGAAAGCCCTGGGTGCGGCAGCCACTTCCTCACACCTGCTGGACATTCCAGAGCTCTCACCAGCTTGCCCTGGGGGAAGAAGGAGCACATAGCAACAAAACCCGGTGTTTCTGATGAGGAGATCGACAAACCAGCAGTAGCTGTGGCGTTCCTGCGTGTTTTCCAGATGTTCCGTCTCCCCAGCCTCCCCACAGCTGGCGAGACAGTACCTTAACGCCCTCTTCACTTACAATTCCATAGCTGGGAGTTAGCAGACTGCAGAAAAGACAGCCCTGTGTGGAAGATCCCGAGCCCACCCTCGGGATTATGATGGTGTTTATGTGTTTTTTCTACCCTCCTTTATCAGCTATACCTTTCCCTGTATTCTTAAGATACCCAGATGGTGGGGATGTTGCTTTATCTGTTTTGCTTTCTAGTCGAGTGTTTTTCATCCGCGTTATTTAGGGGTCCATGGAGAATGACAAGACAGTGCAGGAGAAGAAAATTACTTCCTCCGCCCTCTTAGTTTGATTCATGGAGAGCCTGCAAGTTAAACCAAAAAGAGAGAGACACTGAGACAGAGTAACAAGAGGAAGGTATGTGATTTTTCCAAAGATGACCAAACATTTGGTCATCTGGGGCTGAGGAAGGGTGAAGAATGACCACAGGCTGTTGGCAGGGTCAGGACTATACACACCCATCTCGGGTAAAGCCTGGAGTGGAAGGGCGGGGGGCTGCCTCCACTTCCTCTTGCCCCAGCCCAGGCCCAGCCCCAGAAGGAGCTTTGGAGGGGACTGCCCATGTGGACATTCCACTTTGGTGGCCTCTTAGAGGTCAGGGGCAGTGTTTCTGACAGAGGTGGATGATTAATTTCTGATTGGTGGAGAGAGGAAACTAGGAGGTGATAAAATGACCCCATTTTCCCTTGTCCTAACCTTACCAGTGGTAGCACCCTCCTGGAGGGAGATGAGGATAAAAACCTCTCATGACTAGGCAAATCAGCCCATTACAAATAGGGGATTGGTGAGCCCCAGTGCACACAGCTGGGCCATGATCCCACTGGAGAAACAGTCTATATCCCCTTCCTTCCCTGGTCTCCTCTTGCCTCCAGGATGTGATTAAGAACCACTGAAAGTATAAATCAGAGAATTAAAACAGAGCAAGGGGCTGGTCCAGGTAGCAGAGCACCTGCCTAGCAAGCACAAAGCCCCTGAGATCAAATACCAGGACTGTTCAAAACAAAACAAAAAGGGGACAGGAAAAGGGGAGTAGGCCAAGGCAGGAAGGAGGCAGCTTCAGGTGGCATGGTAGGGACAGGGGGACCTCTGGCTGGGGAGAGCACCTGTCTTGCCAAGGTCAGTGAAGGCCCTAACACTAGGTGTGGCCAGAAACCTAAGTCTAGAAGAGAACTCGGGATCCCTCATGAAGATTCTGAAGCCAGGTGGCTGAGGGCAGCAGTCCAGCCATACACACATGACCACCCCTACCGTGGAGCTGTATGAGGAGCAGGAGGAAGCTGGGAAAACAGGAAAGAACAGGGAAGAACCTTTGCCCATCAATGGACCCTGGGCTGGGTCTTTCCTGGAGGAAGGAGCCTGGAGCCAGGAGACTTGACAATAGCATCAGATGGGGGTTGGGAAGGGGCTTAGTGTGGTACAAAGAGGCACCATTGGATGCCACTATTGTCCATCACTGGGATTATTAATGTGTCTGTGTCCCCTGCTTTGCAGTATCCTAACCCACTGTCTTGTCCCTGGGTGTGGCTGATCTTCTCTAGGGACACCAGGGCTGACTCAGGAGCCACCCTGACAAAAGACCGTGGGAGTGCAGGTGGGACATTGCCCTGCAGCTAGAGAGACCAGGGTTCGAGTTCCAGCCCTGTCACTTATCAGCAAGTGAGTCATTCCTCAAGTTTCAGTTTCTGGCCCTGTGAGATGCAGATTGCATGCCAAGTCTAGAGGGAACGGGGGAGGGCCTGGGTTAGTGGGTCCTGGGGTGTTGGTGTCAGGGGTTATATGTCTGCCTGCTCTTCCCTCCTGGGTATCACCAGGCACAACCAGACCTAGAGAGACCAGAATGCTGAGTGGGTGCACCCTGCTTTCTGCCCCCATCGATCCAGATGTCTGTGACAGATGTGGGTGGAGCGATGTCTTCTGAGCCTCCTTCTGCTTCTTGTCCAGTTACAATAGTTGGATATTGGGGCAGAACAAGAACTCAAGGATGGGAGGGTCTCCCCTTATCTTAGGACCCATAATCCTGGCTGCCTGAATCCACCTGCCCCTCCATCCTCCTGGCCCTACGTCCCAGTGCAGGGCAGGGCAGGTCCCATCTCTCCTTGTCTATAAGCACTTCTTGGTTCTCAGCCTGGCCTTGTGGCCCTGTCAACAGCCCCAGCACCCTGATTCTGTCAGCTTCCCACCCCTCGGGAATATTGACTATCCCCCTCTTGGGGCTCGATAAATCCCAAGGACTCTAACACCAAATAACTCCCACTGTCTTGGGCCACCACTGGTCTAGGGTGGCCAGTCCTGAGAGGACCTCGGCTGGGCAGTGGTAGACTGGATACATGGATGCTGCCATGGCTAGGCTTGAGGCCTAGAATCCTGGCTGCCATCCTAGAGACACAAAGGGCTGACCCATGAGCAAGAGCCACCACAGCCAAACCAGGAGTGGTCCTGCGCCATAATCACTTGTCATGTGAGATCATAAAACCTGGGAGCTGAAGTCTAGTGAGCCATAGTTGTTAACTAGAAGCTGCTTTTTTTGGGGAGGGGGCAGTGAAGCGAGTGGGGCCTGCTACTAGGGATCAAACCCAGAGCCTCACACATACTAGGTACATGGTCTACTATTGAGCTGAAAGGTTCTGGACCATCTCAAGGGAACATGATACTGGAATCTTTTAGGAGGATCCAGGAGTAGAATCCTTCTGACTGCTTATTGCTAGCTTTGGGCTATAGAAGGTTCAGGGCCTCTCTCTGCACCTCATCCCCTGGATTATAGATGCTCACATTGGCCAACACTGAGATTAAGAGTCACTATACAGAACCAGGGGCCAGTGGCTCATACCTGTTATCCCAACTACTCAGGAGGCTGAGATCCAAGGATCACCATTCAAGTCCAGCCCTGGCAGGAAAGTTTGTGAGACTCATATCTCTAGTGAAACATCAAAAAGCCAGAAGTGGAGCTGTGGCTCAAGTGGTAGAGTGCTAACCTCGAACACACGAAGCTCAGGGACAGTACTCAGGCCCTGGTGCCAGGACTGGCACCAAACAACAACAACAACAACACACACACACACACACACACACACAAGTCACTGCACAGAGCCATGGGGTTCAGATGGTCAAATAGGAGCTAGAGCCCCTGACTGTCCTGATAGATCTGGGTAGGGGAATCAGACCCAAGGAACCAGGCCAAGAGGGAAAAGCAACTTTCTTCACAGTGACTTCTTGGGAATGACTTCTGATTGGGTCTCTGCCTAGCAACAAGAATCACACAGTTAACTCTTTCTGTGCTGGACAACACTGTGCTCAGAGTGCCTTATGCATTGACCTTATCCAGCATGTACCCATAGCTGTTGATTCTTCTTACATTGCTCTGCTCAATCTAATGGGTTTCCAGGAAAACTGCTCCCTCACGTCGGACATGGACGTGTCAGAGGCTGTGAAGCACAGGGCAGCCAAATATGCCTTAGTTGCACAGCTGGAAAACACAGTCAATCTGCATGAATGGTAGATTGTGGGTCCTTGTATATAAAAGTTACTGTGACCAGGCACACACTATTTCAGACCCTGAGAGACAATGTCTTTTGCTAACTACTGTTCTGTTTCAGAACAAAATTCCAGCCAAGCCGGCCTCATCACAGACATCTGGGATCACCCACCTCTGGTACTGAGAAGAAAAACAGGTTTGAGCCATAAAGGGCACCCAGTGAGCCTGTCATTCACATTGAATAGCCCTCCCACTCCTCACCTACAACTTTCCCTTTCCTTTCCTCTTAAGAGACTGCCCATCCTTTGTTCATTTGGGAAGCTGATCTGAGCCATTCTTCTGGGCTTCTCCTTGGTTCTCTGGAAAAAGACTTTTCTTGCTTGCACCATCTACCTTTAAAAATTTTTTTTATTGAGCCTATGATTCAGTGAGAGAGAAACAAAACCTAGTTTGGGTCAGAGGCTGGTATCATAATCAGTCTAAAGTGTTTTCTAGAAGCAGAGGCTGAGATGAGGTTTCTTGCACAATTGCTTTATTGAGGGAGAATGTCTGGATGAACCAGTGAGGGAACCAGGAAAACAGGCCAGGCCAGGGATGTGCTGGAGCCCAGAGGTGGTTCCAGAGTATCTGAGCATCCTACCACCCCGATCCCAGGAGGAATTGGGCCACTGCACCACCCAGAAGTCCAGCACGCAGGCCAAGCCTTGGGTGTAGTGTTGTGCCACGGGTCACAGGTGGCCTCCAGAGGGTGGGAGTGGCTGTGGGAGTGGAGGAGGGACAAGGCAGCCCTCAGGAGATCTGAGCAATCCGTAAGAGGAGTCAGATCGGAACTTGGCTGGGGGAAGGGACTCCTGAGTCCGGAGGGGACCTGGGTGGACCACCAACATCTGCTCAAATCCTTATCTGTCTCGTTATCTATATCTATGCACTGTGGGCTCATCTGATCCACAGCGTTAATTGAGTGTCTAGTATGTGGGAAACAGAAGAAACAGAGATGAATCAGAGCTGGTCTCCAGCCTCTAGCTGGAGTTGCAGCCTGGGTGAAGGAGGTGGGAAAAATTCCATTTCTCATTCATCACAGGAAAGCACAGTAAATGGCATCCCTGGGAACTGCTAGGGAACCTGCAGGGAGGAGCCCTTGGAGCAGGGGGAGGAGCGGGGAGAGGAGAAGGAGGGCAAGCCAGGACAGATGGTCTCCTAGCAAGTTACCCTTCCATGCTGAGGAGCTAGAAGGGGCCATTCCTCAGGAGGTTCCATGAGCCACCCAGGCCTTGGCACCTTCCACTTTCCCTTGATCCTTCATTCAGTTTACTGAACCTCAGTTGGGCTGCTGATACTTGCAAGGGGCTCTGGGCTAGGGAAGCTCTTGGTTGGGCGGAGGGGTGGACTTCGGGAATTTAAGACACATGTGGAGTGGACTGAGACCTCAGAAGGGCTCTATCTAGCAACCAATTGGCCACAGCTTAGTGAGTGCACTGGTGGACATGAGGCAGGCTCGGAGGCCAACAGGGTAACTGGCAGAAACCAGCCTCACACTACAGAACCTGCCATCTCTCCCCCTACCCGGCTGCTTTGGCTCAAACACTACCCCCCAGCAGAGTCCCCGGCCTTGACTTTCACAAAGGACCTGGGTGCCCCCCACCCCCCTCAGAGGAGACAGCAGGAAGATGGGGAAAGCAAGCATGAGGCATGGCCAAGCCAAAACTGAGGGTTGCAGGCTGGTCCAGATGGTTAGATACTGCTCGCCGCGGGTCAGCAATCCTGCAGGACTTCCTGAAGCTCCAGATGCATGGGCTTGTGGGCCGCACAGGGCGAGCCTCCATTAGCACGTCGGTTTCTCACCCTGGCAGTGGGGCCTCCAGTAGTAACGAAGGCGCTTTTGGTAGGTGTCCAGGTTGCGCTTCAGGCACAAGGCTACCTCCTTGTCACAGGCACACAGCTGCTGCTCACACCAGCTTCCCTTGTCAGCTGTGGGGAAAGGCAGGCGAAGGCTCAGTGTCTGTCACTTCCCAAAATGGGGGCATCTGAAGGCCGCACGGTCCACACTCGGCTTTGGAGTTTTGCATCCAGACACTTTGACCCCTGATACCTGGCTTGGCTGCCAAGCATGGCTTTGACTTATACACTGACTCAGCAAATTACCAACAGGCTGGACAGGAGGGTGAGGCAAGGGTTAAAAGAACCACAAACTCGATGCTGAGAAGGTGCCAAGGGTACAGGACGTTAAACCTGTCAGGAGCCGAGATCTCAGCTGGAGAGGTTCTTCTCAGACAGAATTGAGGAGGGGAAGAGAGTGTTCTAGGCAAGTGGAACAGAATGTGCAAAGCCTCCAGGCAGGAGGGGGGGCACTTGCCTCAGTTTCATTCTCTGTGGAGTAGGGATGGAGGCAGGAGCATCCTGTGGTGGGAGGGGCTGGGGTGAGAATTGAAAGCACTTTGTATACAAGGGGTGCTCAATTCCTGCCAGATATTACTACTGAGTCCCCACTGACAGCAGTTGTTATGACAAACCCTTTGGATTTCCCAGCCTTGGGATCTTGGGCCAAAGTGGGACTGGACTCAGGGTCTGGATGCTCAGACCCCAGAGCAGGCCTTGTCATTTGGAGCCAAGTGTCCGGGTGACACATTTTTCGTACTTTAGTCTGGGTTTCTTATCCAGCCAGGGAGGCTCAGGGTTTCACTGCCTTCTCACTGAGAATTCAGGAGGATCCCTATGGTGAATGGAAAAAACCATCACGGACAGGACTGCATGATTCGCTGCTACAACTCCGTGGCAGGCCCCCCGCCAGGCTCCATCTGCTGCTCTCCCTCTAGCTCTTGGAATAACTTTGGGGTAGATTACAGAGGAGGATCCTGAGGGTTGGAGTGGTTGAGCAGGGTGTCCATGGTACAGAGTTGGTCAGGGTGGGGACTCTCCCTTGAACATTCCCACTCTCGCTCCTGCCCTTCTCCCACAGTTCAGACATCTTTCCGCCTCGGACGGTCACAGGGGCCAGAACTCTCTCCCCAGGGCTCCAGTTCCAGCCCTGAGTCCCGAACACTCACAACACTGGACTTCCCCCTGGGAAAAAGTGAACTTGTAACTGTCCGTCAGGATCCTGCACTTGTGGGTCGTCAGGTGGGCGTAGCAGCAATCGTGTTTCTGGCAGCACCTGTGGGGAGAGGGCGTGGAGTGGGGGCAGGCAGGGCGCACGGCTACACAGATCTCACAGTCAAGTTGGGTCTCCGTCTGCCCTACCCACATGCCCACTGGGAAGAGTGGGAGCCGGCAGGCCCCTGGGCTTCCTGGGGATTATAATGTTGATATTGATTTCCTGCACTGGCTGCCCTCTCCATGCATACATGCATGCTCTCTCTCTCTCTCTCTCTCTCTTTCTCTCTCTCTCTCCCTCCCTCCTTCTCTCTCTGTCTCTATGTGTCTGTGTGTTTCTCCCTCTCTCTCTCTTTCTCTCTGTCTCTGTGTGTCTCTCCCTTTCCTTCTCCCTCTCCCTCTCTTTCTCTCTCTCCCTCCTTCCCTCCTTCCTTCCCTCTCTCTCTCCCTCCCTCCCTCCCTCCTTCTCTCTGTCTCTCTATATCTCTGTGTCTGTGTCTGTGTGTCTCTCCCTCTCCCTTTCCCTCTCCCCCCTCTCCTCTCTCTCTCTCTCTCTGCTGGTCCTGAGGCTTGAGCTCAGAGTCTGGCTGCTGCCCCTGAGCTTTTCTGCTCAAGGCCAGAGCTCTACCACTTTGAGCCACAGCTCATCTTCTGGTTTTCTGGCGGTTCATTGGAGATAAAAATCTCATGGACTTTCCTGCCTGGGCTGGTTTCAAACCGAGATCCTCAGATCTCAGCCTACTGAGTAGCTAGGCTGACAGGTGTGAGCACTGGTCTCCAGCCCATACATTCTCTCCAAATTCCTGTGCCATCCCATGGCAGAAGTGGTAGTGTTCTCTCCACTTTGCAGATGAAGAAATACTCAGGTCAAGCCACCAGGCCAAGGTTACAATCCTCCTCAGCCCCAGGGGTGTGAGAGTCTAATGGAATGTGGTTAAAAGAGGGGAGGGGGCATTGGAAAATCATGTGCCATGGGAGTTGGATTGGAGGCAGAGGGTAAGGGAATAAGACCTTCAGAGACACTGGGGAACCTTCTAGAAGACCAGCTCCAGAAGCTCCAGAAGGGTTGGGAATGTTCAGGTACTCAGTAGAATTCCTACCATATAGTCCATGCTCAGGGAAAAGAATTCACTAAATGAATGAATGAGTGGAAGGAAAAAGGGTGAGTCCCAGGCAGGGCGGGCGGGGGAGGGGGTTACCAGTCCGTGGCGTCTTTGGGCTGGCCTTTGCCACCCAATCCACAGTGACAGGCGTACGGCCAGTAGTAGAGGAAAGGTGACTTCCCCGTCACTTGTTTGACCATCTTTCTCAGGTTCAGGAGCCCACCTTGGGTTGGAGTCACGCCTGCCAAGCATGCCAGCAAGAAAGAGAGGGAAAGAATGTTACGAGGTTGCCCTGGGGCCCTGAGTGGGCACCTGTGCTGTGTTGACGAGTGTGTCCACCTCGGATGAAGATCGTCATCACATCACACCTACTTCTGCTGATACAAATAAAGTGCTGAGTGGCGATGCAGCTCTGGGGGACAGTGTGGCTCTGGGTCAACCCCAGAAATGAAATAAAACATAACAGTGTGACAGTTGTTGCTTACTTTTTTGTTTATCAATTTGCTGACTGTCCCATTGTTTCAATGAAACTTTGTCACCTGGAGTAGTTTTAGATATACAGGAAAGAGGCAAAATTAGTCTTCCAAGGGCACCTGTATACCCTTTAGCCAGTTTATTAATTATGGTCAATTGTTAAAATCACCACTGGTACAATGGCAATTGTGTGTTTGTGTGTGTGTATGTGTGTGTACTAGGGCTTGAACTCAGGGCCTGGGTGCTGTCTCCTACCTTTTTCTCTACCACTTGCTCTACCACTTGAGCCACAGCTCCACTTCTGGCTTTTTGCTGGTTAATTGGAGCTAAGAGTCTCACAGACTTAATTGCTTGGGTTAGCTTTGTCAATCCTCAGATCTCAGTTCCTTGAGTAGCTAGATTATAGGTGTGAGCCCTGGCACTTGGCTGATTTAAGAGATACCATTTAAGGGGTTGGGAAGGTGGCTCAGTGGTAGAGCGCTTCCCTTGCATGCATGAGGCCCTGGGTCCGATTCCTCAGCACCACATAAGCAAAAAGAAGAAAAGGCCGGAAGTGGCGCTGTGGCTCAAGTGGTAGAGCGCTAGTCTTGAGCTGAGGGACAGCGCCCAGGCCCAGAGTTCAGGCCCCACGACCTGAACCTCCCCCCCTTGCCCCCACCAAAAAAAGAGATACCATTTAAAAAAGCCTGTTTTCGAAAGAATAAAAAGACTCAAGATTATAGAGGGGAAATGGAGGCAAGATGGAATCCACTGCAGTTGGGTTTTATGTTCTGACTGGGTCCTTGATTTTCCACTCATTGTGCGAGACAGAATCCTGACTCACCCGTCTCCCTCCCCTCCCTCTCTCTCTAGAGAAATCAAAGTACTCTGAGCTTGCATGGCTCTCCTGGGAGGCGGTGTGATTTAGAAATCAATGATTTTCATTTCAATCTTAATAACTGCTGGCCAGAATTGATCATAAGGGGAATCTGTTTTATTGGGAGACAGAAATACATTATGTTGAATTAGGAGAAATAGGAAAAAGCTATGAAGTCAATGAATTCAAGGGGTGGGGGTGGGGGAGTTGGAGAGAGACAAGCAGGAAGCAGAAATGGAAACGTGTGCTGCCCCTACCCCCCAAGAGATACTTCTAGAACACAGGGATCACACTCCAGATGGAGCCAAGAGTCTCAGGAGCAGGAGCTGGGCAAATCCCTTTGGTGACCTGACTAGGTAAAGGATGTCACATGAAACTCAGACACAGGGAGCAAACAGAAAATGAGGGGTGAGCCCCACATTGAAGAAGATTATGAGAAGAGTTGGTTGGGGTCACTTCACATAGTAAACAAAGGGAGGCAAAACTTATAAGCAGGTGGCCTGAGGCTGCAGCTAGAAAAGACTGGTCTGCGGTGTTCCTGTGTGTCACCACCCCTGCTTGTCGCTGGTGGCTCTAGCTGAACAGGGCGTAAAACAGAAACTTTGCTAAGCTTTAGCTATGCGGTGATGATCATAGGCTTCTGGAATTATTTGGGATTCCTAGCTGGAATCCTGGGATTCTTGACTTCCATGATAAGGAACTCTAAGGCAAACTAGCTAGAGAATAACTTAGAATCTAACCTTGTGGCCCAACCAAAGACCTGAATTCAGAATCTTGCCATTCTGGATGGACCTCTGGCTTCAACATCTAGCTCTTTCAATCTTAGCTCAGAAAGATTCACCAAACCCTCACCTGCCTGGCACAGCTCACCCCTTCTGCCAGACAAGGAATGCATTTAATTTGATTCTCAACGCTTTGGGAGTGGTTTCCCTTTGCATCAATATAGTGAGCAGAACCCAGCCTGAGAAGTTGGGCTCAAGGTACGTGTGGGGGCAAGCAGGGGCTTTGGGGGAATTAGCTTCACTTGTCAGCAATTCCTGTATCCATGGTTTCTCCCAGCCACATTGCCTCTGAGCAGGAAGGAGCGACCGCAGGAGACACATGGCTCCAGCTTTGTGCATGGACTGTGTCTAGCTCACACTTGCTCAACATTCAGTATCTATTTTTCTCATTCGAGTGTATGAAGGGGATGTTATCATGCCATTTAGCAGATGAGGATATGAGGAGGTTGGGTGTTTTGGCCAAGGTCCTGCTACCAGGAGGTGGTGGGGTCCATATTTAGCAGAAGGCAGACTCAACTGAATTATATTATCTCTCTACATTGAGAGGTATTTATCTGTTGACTGTGGATTTTCTAATGTTTTTCACTAACCTTGGAGAAATGCTCCTCTCAAGAATTTGGGAGTCCCAAGACAACATAAATCCACTTTGGGAAAATGCAAGAGCAAGCTGGGTATGGTAGCACACACTTGTAATCCCAGCACTCAGGTGGCAGAGTCTGAGGTCAGCCTGGGCTGCCCAGCAAGTTTGAGCCAGCTTGAGCTCCCTTCCTCCCTTCCTTCTTCCCTCCCTCCCTCCCTCCCTCCCTCACTCCTTCTTCCTATCACACTTCCAGTCTCACTCACCAGCCATCACCAGCAGCACACACAGCAGGGTGAGTTGCATGGTCTCACACCGGGCAGTAGAGGCAGCAGATGGAAGTCCCCTTCCACGCTGGCTGCCACTTATATGAAAGGCATGCCCCTCCCCAACCGCCCCTCCCCCCTCCTCTCTCTGCTCCAGTTTCTGTGAAGGCATCTCTGCTTCCTCTTTTCTGGGACTTGGAAATCGTACTTTTGGGTTTTTAATATATTTTTCATGAAAGAAGCATAAATCCAATGTAGAAGATTTGGGAAACATTAAAAAAAACACAGGAAACAGAATCACCTGCAAAGACATTAAACATCGTTAATATTTTGGTCCTATTACATTTCTTATCAAGCATTGTAGCCTCCTCCTTTGTTTCCCCTTCTTATCCTCCCTTCCCATCCTCCCCCCTGCCCCCCCACCCAATCCTCTCCACCCACTCCCCCCATCCATCTTCTTATCTATATCTATCTCTCTGTCTGTCTATCATCTATCATTTTCTATCATCTATTTATCTGTCTGTTGATTTATCTCCATACTTTTTCCTAACAAAACATGAGTACTTTGCAGAGTACTTTTGTCAGTTGGACACAGCTCCACGTGGTTATTCTTTTACAGTAACATCTTACAAGGCCGCCTCGCGTTCAGTGTTTCACGAAGCCCTTCCTGATAGTCACAGGTGGTTTCCCATGTTCTAGTATTCGAATGAACCACGAGACGACTGCCTCTTAGTCTATGTCTTGCACAGTTGCTTACCATGGGCATCAAGCAGGCAATAGATGGATGGATGTGTACAGACAACTTGGCCTTCATGACGCCTGACCTGGTTCATTTATGAGAATCCTAATGAGACAAGGGTTGTGGGCCCAACGTCCTGGGAGGAGGGTGTGGTGGGTGGAGCTGCTGGTGTCAGGACCTAGGTGGACATCTCCTAGACTCCATCCCCAAGGCTGTGTACATGACTAGATTGCCCTGGGTAAGAGCCTGGCCTCCCACGTCTTTGTAGCTCACACCAGAGCTAGATGCTCTACTCTGCCTCTTCTACCTCCTGTGTAAGACAGGGTGTGGGTGGTGCCTACTGCACAGGATTGATGTGAGGCCTGGAGGTGGTGACCAGTGCTATGGGTTTGAATGTGTTTTCCGTAGGTGCGTGGGTCAGGAACCAACAATAAGAGGTGAGTGGTCTTTGAGAGGTGTGCCCTAGTGGGATCAGTACTCTATCTCTGGCTTCCTATCTCTCCAGGTGATCTTGCCCTCACACACATACTCCTACCATGATGCCATCCATTGTGATGTGCCCAACCAAGATGGCTACATGTAACTAATGGTCCAACCAACATGGGCTGTCTAATCGTTCATTTACAGCCTCCAAAAACTAAGCTACACAACCTCTTTTCTTTATAAAGTACCCGGCCTTTGGTATTTCCTATAGTAACAGAAAATGGATGGATACGATCTGTGAATGGGATTTGGTCCACTGATAGAGCTCAACAGATGTTAGCTGAGATTTCTCCCATATCACATCTCCTTCTTCAGCCTCACACCTGACTATAAATGGAGTAAGCAGCTAACTTTTCCATCTGCATCATCAAATCGGCTGCTAATCTACTGCAGGTTTTATCTCTATGCATTTTGTTCTCTTGATAAATTTGATCTGGGTCTTTTCCCCTCTCCCCCTTCCTTACTCTTCCCCCACTGAGGCCCTTCCCCCCCCCCCGTCGAATATGTTCTGTTTCTCAGTGTACTCAATCTTTCCTTTATCTTCTTAAATGCATAGCTACTAATCCTATCATCTGGGTTGAGTCATTTCTGGGTCTTTTTCTATTGCTTGATATTTTTTTTAAGTGAACACAACAACTTTATTTGAAAGTAAAAGGAAAGTCATGAAGGCAGGGAGACTCTCCTTTGACACAAAGACTCCGGAGAAGAGTCCAGTGGATAGTTTTATAGGAAGGAGCCCCGGTCATGTCTCCTCTTTTCATTGATTGAGTGGGCCCTTGGGGCATTATGGGAAGGAAAAGTGTTTGAACAGAAGCCTTCGGCATTATGGGAACAAGAAGTGTTGGGCCAAGTGTTATCAGCCATGTGTTATATCCATCACTTTTTATTCCTGTCTGTCTCACCATTCCCTTTTCTTTCCTTTACCTCCCTGCTTCACCTCTAGGATGGAAATCCTGTTAGGAGTCAGGGGTGGTGGCCACACTAGGCTACTTCCTGATGAGAGAGGTGGAGGGTGTGGCAGTCTGGGGTCCTCTGGGAAGGGTCTTTTAAGACGACAGGATATGATTTGTTCCGGTGGACCATGGTAAAACTCCAGAGGAAAGCTTATATGAGGCTCCTTATAATGGCCATTTGTAGCTTGATGAACTCCAATCTAGAAAAAACTTCACAAGGAGGTTGAGAATGCATGAGCTAAGTTTGAGCAGAACTGTTATATGCCTGATGGGTTCTTTAGAATGCATTTCCAGAAGTGAAATTGCCAAAGCAGATGATAGGAAAGTTTTCCATTCTCTAAATTCTGTGTGGATTTAGGCCTGCCCTTGCGATCTGAGCACCTGTGAAGCTGGGTGTCTTTGAGACTTGTCAGCTGGTCCATGCTTTGCTTCCCTGGTCACCGCTAGATAAACCTCTTGCAGGAACTGTTGGGCTGTAATTGAGCACAGTCCCCAGGCAGTGGGTGGAAGGAGGCAGGAAGACATGCAGATACCAGAGAGCAAATTCTATGCATAATGGTTACCGGTGTCTGAGCCTCCCAGATGCCAGGGTTTGGGTGGTTCTGTCATTCAACTTTCTCAGCCACACCAGGCAGGAGAAACTGTTATTCCTATTTTACTGATGAGGGAAACAAGGTTGGAAACTTGAACAGGGCCACACAGTAGGGTATAGCTGAGTTGAAGTGAACACACAGGTTTACCAGGGCCCTAGGTGGAGCAGTGGGGGTTCTTGACACATGTGCAATGTGTATGGGTGCTGTTCTGGTCCAAAGTCAGAGATGAGTGGCTCTGCTGGACCTCATCATACCTGATTGTGCTTCCTGACCCACTCAGCATAGATCGAGGGGGAAATGAAAAAAATTAGCCATGCCCTGACACCTGCTGCTCAATCCACTACAGAAAAGAAAGGGGTCCCTTCTCCTAAGAGATCCCCCCCATGTTTGAGAGTGTGTTCTCCTAGCCAGACAAGGCCAGTGTCCTCCCTCCTACCATACTCCCTGCAAAGCCCCATTCTTCAGGACAAAATCCTTGCAGAGCACATCTGAAGTACTGCTCTGAAGCACACCAGGATGTCCGCAAAGCCAGGGAGCTGGGCTTCCTTAGGGTGGGGCCCATGGGAAAAGCAGAACCATAGGAAGCGGGTCCGACAACTGGAGCCACTCCTATGTCTGCCACCGCAGAATGGATGGACAAGTGTTAGCGTCGCCTCTCACAGATACAGGTTAACGAGCCACGGCACACAATGGCCTGGGTGAGCCTCCCAAACATGAGGCTGAATGCATCTCACAAACACAAGGACACATGTGAGAAAGAGAAGGGTCAGGACTGTGGTGCTGTGGAATGGTCCAGCTACTTTGAGTTTTCCTGAGTCAGGATAGTGGGGACACATGGAGATACCTGGGGTACCAGAAGTTGTCAGGAGTGCCGATGTCACTCTATTGGAGACATGAATGTGTTCACATGGTGGAAAATTTATCTGGCTCTTCTACCATTCGTTTCCTGTTTACGTTTCAATGATTTGAATAATTAACTATGATAATGGTGATGGAATGGGTTTCAACTTCAGTAAGAAGGCTCAGAGAACCTTCTAGATAATCAGACATCCTAGTTGATGACCAATAGAGATTAAGTAATAGAAATAATGCCACGGCCTAGATATCAGATGCACTCTTCAAACTCTGTCTGAACACTACAGTTACCTTGATGGCTTTTTTTTTTAATCTCTTATATCTTCCAGTTTTTTTTTTTCAACTGGAAAAAAGAGGCCTGTGGGGTTCTGCAATCTTGTTGTCATGGTAACAGGAATGGGCACACAGTAGGTGGTTAGGAAATGTGTGATAGCTGCTGATCCCTCTCTCCAGGAGAAAAGAGCTTCAGGAGATAGAGAAGAATCAAGAAGCACTTTCAAGATGACTCAAACTTCTCATGGCCAACAGCTAAAGGGTGAGTTTTGCTAAAAGGTTCTTGCTTGTTTTCAGACCCAGCCCAGCATTTTAAAAAATTCAGTCATTATAAATAATGTGGGAGGGGGAGTTAAAATATGCGGGAAGATAGGTGGAGATTATATGCAAATACCACCATATGGTATATAAATAATGTAGATGTAGAACAGATTTTAGTACTTTAGGATTTGTGAGGATTCCCAGAGACACCAAGTAATGACTGTATTTAATATGTACGATGTCATGGGTGGCATGTGCTCCCATCTGTGAGATGCTCACTACAGTCCAACACCTCCAGACCCTCCCTTTCTCTCCACTTGGATCCCAGGTAAACACTGATGTGCTTTCTGTCGCTATAGATCCATTCGCATTTTCTAGAATGTCATCAGGCCCTACTTATATGCTTTACCTAGTTTCACTCCTTGTAATTATTTGGAGACATACCTTTTTTTTTTTTTGCCAGTTGTGGGGCCTGAACTCTGGGCCTGGGCGTTATCCCTCAGCTCTTCAGCTCAAGGCTAGTGCTCTACCACTTGAGCTACAGCACCACTTCCGGCTTTTTCTGCTTAATGTGCTGCTGAGGAATTGAACCCAGGGCCTCATGCATGCAAGGCAAGCGCTCCACCACTGAGCCATCTTCCCAGCCCTTGGAGACATATCTTTGATGCTGCCTGAATCTCTATGGTGGAGTAATATACCATTGTGTTGATAGGCGCAATTTTTTAAACCATTTGCCAGAAAATGAATATTTAGTAGTTTCTAATTTTAGTCTTTTACAATCCTCCTCCTCTTCTTCCTCCTCCTCCTCCTTCTCTTAGATTTTGCATCAAGCCTTGTGACCCATTTTTCAAAAAAAAAACACATTTATTTCTTTAAATTATGTAAACGACATGTACCATGAAAT